CTCCCCATCATGTGCAGGCAGGTGGGAGCTGCTGGGTGCAGCCCAGGGATCTGGGGAGCTGTGCCATGCCCCAGGAATCGCGCCTGTGGGAGCGTGGCTGCCAAAAGCATTTCCCAGTAAATATTTTGGAAGGGGATGGTGCAGCTTCTGCCCTTCTGCTGTCCCTCCAGCCCTCCATCTAACCCCACACTGCTGAGGTGTGAGGTGTTTTTGGGCACTCGTGGAGAATGGCAGCCCTGGTGATGGAGAAGAGCTCCCCAGGGAGCAGCAGCACCGCTCTGGATGGGGGACAGGACCCAAATCATCTCGGGAAAGCAGGAGAAGGTGAGGGGTGGCACAGTGAGGGGGTCACCTCCCCCTGAGCTGGGACAGGGGGACGAAGGTCAGGCTCCCTGCAGGAGGGTGCAGGGCTGACGTCAAAGGAAGCAGCTGTGATTTATGGGTTCCTGGGAGCGCTGCTCTCCGGGCTGTAACTCATCCCAGAAATGTCATCTCAGCCTTGAGCGTTATCGCTGCTCCCATCCCGGGTGGATAACGGCCTGGGGAACAGGGGGGCTGTTTGCAGTCCCAGCTTTTGCAGTCCCAGCCCAGCAGCTCCGTGTGTTTAACATTCAGCAGCTCCATGTGTTTAACATTCAGCAGCTCCACGTGTTTAACTTTCAGCAGCTCCATGTGTTTAGTATTCATCTTTCTCTGGGCCATCTTGGTTCTAGTGCACAGCATTTGCTGATTTTGGGCTCAGCATGGCTCGTTATTGATGATGGTTGTGCTGTGAGACGCTGCTGTCCATCATCATTGTTATTTATCCATTTTTACCCATCAAAGGTKGGACTCGATGGCCTTGGAGGTCTCATTCACCCCCAGTGATGGTGTGGCTCTGTGATTGTGCCATGGATCCGAGCCCAGGGGTGGCTGCAAGGCACGGCAGGAGGTGGCCAGGGGGCTGGGGCTCCCCGCTGCCCCTCGGAGCTGCCTCTGGCCGCAGTGGCCGTGGCTGTGGATCCCTCTGGCCGCAGTGGCCGTGGCTCTGGGTGTCTCTGGTCAGAGTGGCCGTGGCTGTGGGTGTCTCTGGCCGTGGCTGTGTGTCCCTCTGGCCACAGTGGCTGTGGCTCTGGGTGTCCCTGTCCCAGCCCAGCTCTGGCCAGCACTGACCCCCAGCCCCGGCCGTGCGTGGGGAGGCGGCTCCGGCCTTGGCCCAGCCCCAGTGACGGTTCTTATCTCCGGGCTGACGGCGCAGAATCCTTCAGCCCCTCTACTTAAGGCAGCGAGCGGCGGGGCCGGGCCAGAGCCGCGCTCAGCACAGACAGACAGACAGACAGACAGACACCAGCACTGCCACAGCCACCCCACGGCTCTGATCCTGCAGGGAAATGTTGCCAGCAACATCCAAACTCTGCGCTGCCATCTCCTACCGGCACCTGCGCAACATGACGGGTGAGTGTGCCCTGCACGGGCACCAAGGGCTGCACAAAGGATTCTCTTTCTGTCCAAACTCCTCAGAGTGCTGCTCAGGGCTCAAGGATCTTCTCCCCACCCTGTTGCACGTTGGGTTTTGTGATTTACTATCCCTTTTTGTCACCATAGCTGGGCTGCATCGTGTCCCATGGGATAAGCTCTGGGTCACGCTCCCCCCGTGGCTCTGAGGATTTTGTGCCTCTGTTTCCCATCTCCATCCTCTTTCTTGCACRATGCTCCTCAGCATTTCTGCTGCTCTGTGGCTTGGAGCTGGAGCCAAGCTCAGGATTGCTTCAGACAATCTGCCAGGGCAGTGTGATGGCGAACAGCCCGCAGGGACTCTGCGATGGTGACAAGCAGAGATGTTTCCATGTTCTGTGTTTAATTTGGGGGAAAAGCCCGCGCCAAGGCTCTCTCAGTGCTGTGCCAGAGGGTGAGCTGCTCTTTCCCCAGGTCTGAGGAGACAAGCRGCCGTGGCCATCAGCCAGGAGCTGAGCAGACTCGCCTGTCACAGCCCCGGAGCCAGTGCCTGGATCCACCAAGTGCGCAGGAGGAGCTCCCTGCTCAGTAAGTGACACCCGAGGGGCTGCTCCCTCCTGCCATGGGGTGACCATCACGGAGAAAACCTGCCTGAGGGTGGGCTGTGCCTCTGCTGGACCAAAGGCAGAGGGGAGCGGGGTTTAATCCCCATTGCCCGGGCACAGAGAAGGGGATTTGGTGTWGGTAAAGCTCATCTGGCTCATTCTGCACTCACCCCTGCCTTTGTCTGCTCCTGGCAGGCTCAAGGCTGGAGGAGAAGCCCTTCAGCGAGATGGAAATGTCTTACATCAAGCAAGGAGAGGAAGCCCTGCAGAAATCCCTCCGAATCCTGGAGGACCAGGATGACTGGAAGACAGAGACGGTGGCGGTGGGTGCTCTGCCCTGTGGCGCTGATTTGCTCACTCCTGTGAGCGGTTCTGGTGCCAATTCTGCCATCCCATCTGCAGGGTAAYGGAGACAAAGTGCTGAGCAAGGTTCTGCCGGGCGTGGGGAAGGTGTTCCGGCTGGAGGTGGTGGTGGAYCAGCCCCTGGACGCCGTGTACGGAGAGCTGGTGGACAACATGGAGCAGATGGGAGACTGGAACCCCAACGTCAAAGAAGTCAGGGTACGAAATGTGTCAGACCTGTCAGTCAGGGTTTTATCTGTTTTCCTGCTGCAGATGGAGGGGTTTTTTTTTGCAGTATCTGTGTCGCTGCTGCAGCAAGAGGCAAGTCTGGAGCAGCTTTTGGGTGACTAATTCTGCAGGAAATGCACTTCAGTTCTGCTGTAAATTTGGGCTGATCTGGAGGAGAAATAGCCCCAAGGCACAAGGCATCAGGGAAGCAATAAGGGAAATAGCTTTTCACGCAGGAATTTAAAACAGTTCTGCATCTGGGGGTGAACAAGTATTTGGAATTATTGTTGATGTAAACACCAAGCTCTTGTCCGAACACCCAGTAACCAAAGGCAGATTTTAGCTGTGCTTGCAGTAAACACTTCAAATGGAAGTTTTCATTCTAAACTGCAGATTCTRGAGAAGATTGGGAAGGACACGGTGATCACCCACGAGAAGGCAGCAGCGACCCCGGGGAACATYGTTGGGCCCCGGGACTTTGTGAGCGTCCGGTGCGCCAAGAGACGCGGCTCCACCTGCGTCCTGGCCGGAATGTCCACCACCTACGGAGCCATGCCCGAGCAGGAGGGCTTCATCAGGTGTGTCTGGGCAGCACGAGCTGCTGAGGGAACCCCAAAGCCTAAAATGCATTTTGGAGGTTTAAAACCAAAGGTCCATCTGACTTCTCTCCACACCAGGGCTGAGAACGGTCCCACGTGCATGGTCCTGCGGCCGCTGGCCGGCAGCCCCTCCCAGACCAGGCTCACCTGGCTGCTCAGCATCGACCTCAAGGTACCCGGGGCTGGGACAGGGTGGGGACAGCCAGGGGCTGGGGGACAGCCAGGGGCTGGGGGACAGGAGGTGCTGACCACAGGCTGTGTCTGCTCCCCTCCAGGGATGGCTGCCCAAGACCATCATCAACCAGGTTCTGTCCCAGACACAGGTGGACTTCGCCAAACACCTGCGGCAGCGCCTGGCACGGCCGGTGCCCGTCAGCTGCTGACCACGACCTCGGACCACAGCCTGCTGACCATGACATGCTGACCACACCCTGCTGACCACAGCCTGCTGACCATGATCTGCTGACCACAACTGCTGACCACGCCCTGCTGACCACGCCCTGCTGACCACAGCCTGCTGACCACAGCCTGCTGACCACAACTGCTGACCACAACCTGCTGACCACAACTCTGACCACAACTCTGACCACAACCTCTGACATGCCCTGCTCACAACCTCTGACCACGCCCTGCTGACCACAACCTCTGACACGCCCCGCTGACCACGCCCCGCTGACCACGCCCCGCTGACCACGCCCTGCTGACCACGCCCTGCTGACCACACAGTGCAGGGCTTTCTTCAGAGGCAAAGTAGGGAATCTTGTCACTTCAAACAGCCGAGGCCTTTAATAGCAGACTCCACTAATTAATACATAGTTTCAATCAATAAATCTACAGATTTATTTATTGAAACTCACTGTATAAGTGCAGGACCAAAAATTTAATTCCTTTGCTTCACTGATCACGTGCTGGCTCAGGCAGCCAACTCCACCCTCCCTAATTACTTCCAATGAATAAATAAAGCTTTAATTAGTGCTGTCTACAGTTAAAGATCTGGGCTGATGAGTTCTTCCCAGGGAGATGCCTGACTGGGAAGGTACATCCTCAGTGAGGCAAATGAAGGCCTGACTGAATCTCAAATTTTACTCTCCCCAAACTCAAACATACTGCTTAACTATTTTGTTCCCTCTCCCCYTGAAAGCAGCTCTAATTTATTTTTTCCTGTACAGACACACAAGTGTCAGATTATTTATTCATCCAAAGCTCTGCAATGATGATCCTGCACACAGTCAATCTTCCACTTGAAAGATCTCCAAGTGTAGTTATTTTGAATTTAAATGTCACTTGTAACAATTAACAAGACAAAAACAATAATAAAAAGAAGAGTTAAAGCCTTTATTTTTAAACTGGTTTCCAGTTTGTGGGGAAAAAAATAGTTTGGACAGAAGCCCAAATTTCAGTCTTACATGCAGCTGTCTGATTGGAACAGAGCTGTCCTGGCTGGGAGCTGTTGGTCACCATCAGCCAAACCCCTGAGCACAGGGGTCACTGTACCTACACCTGGAGGGTCCACTACAATGGGACCTGAGAAGGTACCTCAACACCCCCTTCTCCATAAGTGACACTCTGATGGCATTGGGGCCCCCAGAGATGCTCCAAAGGAGCACAGAACACCCCAGAACTGCCCCACAGTGACAGTGGAGAGGGTGTAAACACACACACACAACACACACACACACACACAACACCTGCCAGCCAGGGCTGCCTCTGCCTCAGCCTGCTGGGTCCTTGGCTGAGCACTGACACAGAGATTGAGGTTCCTCTGCAGTAAATCCAGTGTCAGGGTCTATGGCTGCAATAAATCCACGGTGTCAGGGTTTTTATGGCTCCCAGGGTGGGCTCCTCCTGCCATCCACCTCTGTCTCCACATGGTACAGGACATCAGCCAGGGTGTGCTCCACCACGGCCCCCCAGCCCATGTCACTCATCTGCAGAGGGAAGCACAGTCAGCTCCACACCWGGACAAAGAGTGATCACCCATTCCAGGGCTGGTTCCTGCCTGAAAACACTAGTGTGGAGGGGAAATTCCAAATATTTCCTTAAGTACTGATAAATGGGGCCAACACGGGAAACAATCTGCCAAGAGCAACAAGATAGCATCWACTATTTAATTAAAATTTAATGACTTAATGGGATGATTTATTGTCCTTRAGTATTTTTAAACATAATCCTTTTGGCTACACTATCCAGGTACTGAGACTGAAGAACAGGAACAGGTGTGGAATAAATCACACCAAAACACCTTTGATTTGAGGCTCTCAAATGGGGGRTGGGGGAAGTTTCAGTTTTACTTACGGGATGGTAAGTGATGTCTCTGGGTGGATACTTGAAATATGGCCCGAAGTTTATAGAAACCTGTGGAAGATATGTTTTCATTGGATCTAAAATCCAGGAAAATTTCTTTAGCCCTCTTTCATTGTCCCTTCCTATTCCTGAGCCCACCCATACCCTGTGCAAGCCCAGAGGAACAAACACTGCTGATATTTCTTCAGCAATTTGATAATTTCATTACACATGCAAACAGCAACATTGTTCCAGAATCCCTAAAATAATTCCCATCTTTCCTTTTCACTTGGCACACCCCCAGAATGCCCAAACTTTGTGCATTACWGAAACTGATGGATGTAGGAATTCTCTTTCAAAGACCCCTCACTTACCGTGCAGCCTTTGTACAAAGAAATAGCAGGAAAATAAACCCCCTCAAAGATGTCCTTAAAGGCAACTCCTTGGCTGACACCATTCTTGAAGAATATGATCTGAAAAATGAAGGGTTTTCCCACTGATGGTGGCTGTCAGGACACAGMAACCCTGACAAGGTTAATCCCAGCTCCCTTTCACTCAAGCCAGGAATGTTCTGAAGTGACAGCCACAACTCACCTGGCTTCCAGGGGCTTGCTTTAGGCTCTTCTCTGCTTTGTCCACAAAATCCTTCTCTTCAAAGTACAAGTAGCTTTTGAATTTGATCAAAGCCTGAAATAGCAACAAACAATGTCATAAACAAACCTGAAAAACTGTTACCTGTCACTTGTCCTGCTTGGAGACAGGTGTGCCTGGTGTCAGAGTACCTGTGAGCAGTGCTTCCCACAGCTCAAAGATTAGAAAGGAGATGTGGGCAATTCCATCCAGGAGTATTTTGCTTTCTTGAGATCAACACTTTGGGCCTTCCCTATGAACCACGGAGGTACCCAGAGGCAGGATGGGAAGGATGCACAGGAAGGGGTGCAAGTGAGGCCACAGCAACTTGTTTTCCATTTATCCACCTGCCAGTGCTTAATCCAACAGTGAACTSGCACCTCACCTTGTCTTTGTAGGTGTCAGGCAGGGATTTGGCTGTCTCAGTATCCTCTGGAAGGCTGATGTAAAAGCCCAGGACATCACCCTGGCCATAGCCAGAGGAATAGTGTTTCCCWATGGACTGGTGAAACTTGGTTCCCTTTTTACTGCGCCAGGAGTAACTGAACTTGTCATAGCCCAGAGGGGCCTGGAGGTTCCCTGCAGAAACAAACACTTTGTCATAAACACACAGAGTGCAGCAGCAGCAGCACCTGCTAAGAAATATTTGTAAAAGTATTTACCCAAGGGCTGTGACCAGCCTAGTCTGGCAGCTGTGTCTGGAGGCATCTCATCCATGGAGATTTCAAAGTACCAGGCTCCTTTCCGCACGCCGTGCGAGGCTCGCACCATGGAATAGCCCTTCTCACCAATAACAGTCAGTCTGTCATCWGAGATCTTCAGCTGGGGAGCTGCAGGGGAGCACACGAGCACTTATTTGTCATTTTTAAGGTGATGCTGTCAAAAGGCAAGTGAACCTCTGACAGCATTGACATCTGAAACATCACTGATGGGAAATGAGAGATGTCTCTGTGAGGAAACACAACTCGTGCAGGTTAAAAAGCTCTGTACCTCGGTCGTGCAGYGCCAGGAGGACTCGTTCATACAGGCAGGCTCTGTACAGATCCCCAGGAATTGGTTTTCCTGCCCAACAGTCCAGCTCCAGCTTTTCAGGGTCGGGTGCATGGGGGTCAGGCTCGGCCAGGATGTAGCGATAGCCGTCCTTGTTGAAGGGATGTTCCAGAGGGTACCCGTGGGGTGGGAGGCGCTGAGCCGAGAACARCGGGTCACTGAAACACAGAAACTGCATGCTGGCATCACCCAGATGGGCCAGGACATCCCCTGCAGAGGGCTCAGGGGCTGCACAGCCATGAAATGTGTGTGAAATGAGAGCACACTCACTCATCCACTGTGAATCATTCACCAGCACAGGGCTCTGCAGTGACCCCGGGCACCCACCCAGGGCACAGACAGCTGGGGGGCAGCTCCAGACACCCCAATGCCCATCCCACAGCCATCCCTGCACTCTGTGCCTCTCCTCCCCTCTCACCTGCGGGTTTTCTTGGCTGTTCCTGTGGTTCCTCCATCCTGCTGCTTGCGTTTGGCTCCTCGGCCCTTCCCGCTGCCCCCRGCAGCCATTCCCCCTGGACACAGAGCAGGCACAGTGAGGAGCTGCTGCTCAGGGAGTGCCCTCACACATGGAATCTCCAGGCACAAGAAGCCAAACCAAAATCAGCTCGTGGTGCCTTTGTCCACAGTTAAAGTGAACCAGACTGTACTGCCAACGAGCACAACAAAATCCACAACTTTCATGTGGCTTCTGGTGAGCTTTTGAGGTGTCTAAATTTGGAGCAGAAGCTAAGGAGACTGAGCAGCAAAACAAGCTCAACAYGAGCTTTTAAGGTGAGAATTAAGAATATTTTCTGTCATCAGAAAATTTACAGGCAGCAGCACTGGGATCCACTTCAGGGGYGTCATCATCAATGCCAGTATGGTTATTATTAATAATATTATTAATATTATTATTATTACTACTACTACTTCTACTATTATGACTATTATTTGGTTTCATGGAGATTCCAGTCACAGCTCAAATCYATTTCTGCAGAAGCAGCAGAAACCCAGCCTACAGCACAGCCACCATCCCAGTGATCCTGTGCTGGAGGAACACTGACACCACCCAGCAATAAGCACTTAATGCTCCATTTCCATCTACAAAATGAAATACAAACCAAAGTTGAGGAAAAATGAAAAGCAAGAGGTGTTTCTCTTCAGTACAACTGAAGTCAGTTCTATGATTGAACAGCAAATCAGTTTGAACTCAGCACTCAGTTATAAAACTGCAGTGCAGGAAAAGCTACATGTCAAATTGAATCAAACTAATATCAGCATGTTTTAATAAATTAAATCATACATGCATTTTTCCAAAGATATTGCTGCTGATTTTTAARAACACTGTACTGTAGATAAACACCTTCACAAACCACATTTGTGTGGTAACTAAAAATCCAGTCAGCTCTTCCATTAGCAGCACTCCCTTACAGTGTAAGGGATCCAAACCATCCAGGAACACCATATTCTGCACAAACATGACCTGATCCTGCTGCACTCACTGATTTCAGTGCAAACAAAACGTTCAGGCTCTCCAGTTTGTCAACAATGACTTGCCCAAACCATCACACTGTAAATTTCATACTAATCATTTAAGAATTAAAACTAAAACATCAGGTCAATTGATACAGAATAAACATGACTGTAAAATAAATTAAAAAACCATAAACCAGTCAAGCAGGGCAGAATATGGCAATTAAAAGCTTCTAACTACTAAAGATTAAAGAGTGGAATTGCTGGTTTGTACTAAAGTCTGACTGCAATCACATTAGGGCACATTTTCATTTTTTAATTGACTTTGGCTTCTAAGAGAATCGAGCAAAAAAAGCTTTGCAAACAGCAATACTTAAGTTTTAGAGGCTGAAAGGTAAATATTTACCTCCCAGAGAGGCTCCACCTGCAAGAACAGAAGGGGCACCACATGTTTTGTCAGTCTCCCAGAAATTAAATAAAAAACAACCAGYGCATGACATGGAAACAACACACCTGAGATATCTGTAACCTGCTTTAAAAAGTCCTAAATTTCTCCTGTCTGTACTGCTGGGATGTGTTGGAAACAGATTATTAATAAATAAACCCAGCAGCAGTTCATTTACTGCAGTAAGGTCACCCTGAGGACCCTCAGAGAGAAGGGAAAGCTGAGAGCACAGGAATYATCCACAGAAAGGAACAGCAAAACACAAGCAGTGAGCACAAGGAATATTACAAATACATATATACACATATTTATAATTTCTCCAGCTACTTTCAGTTCTCAGAGGGAAATGTGAATAACACAATGAGATAAATTAAAACCATTCTAGGAGCCAAGGGACAAGCTCAGCATCTCAATTTATCTGGYCACTGTAAAGAAACAGCTGAACCTTCCCAAGAAGTGAAGTTAATCTCACTATAAAAAGGCACAAGAGACTGCTCTGAGCATAAGCATAAGCTCAGTTCACACGCCAGTTTAACTGCACAGATGCCCAGAGGACTAAGAAGTGCAGCTTAGTCCCAAACAGCCAAACCCCTCCCWAAAGAACTTGCCATTTAAGCTTCCACTGGTGGACACGGCGTTGTTCTGTTTCTGRTTGTCATAGGCTGGACCAATATTGGCAAGATCCTGCAAGAGACAAAATAATTATTATTTAACCAGCTCCAACACCTGGTTAAAGGGTGTTGGAGCTCCCATCCATGGCTGGCACAGCACAGGCACAGATTCACCCCTGGACTGAGCAGAAGGGACCCCCCACCCCTCCTCTCAAATCCTCACCTTCCTCCTGSCTCTCATCACATACCTGGTCTAGAAGCCCAAATTTGGGGTAATCTTCCTCTGGGTCTTTACTGCCTGGGTCTGGATGTTCTTTCACCAGGAACACATCTCTTTCTTTACACTAAAACAGCAAAGTTTTAGTTACACAGGATAAGATCATAACAAATTCAATACCAAGTGTTTAAATCCCAGTATTTCCTATTAATCTGTTGCTAAGAAGCAACATCATCTTCACCCTCTAGCTCCAAGCCCAGCCCTCAGCACATACCAATGTCAGAAAACCAAAATTTGTGGATTTCCCCTCAATTCTTACCATGGTTTTGACAATATTATTGGGCCAAGTCATTTTGCCAGGCCTCTGGCGTGTTGTCATACACTCCCAGTATTTATCAATAAATGGGATAATATCCTGTAAGAACAGAAAACATTTGTGTGARCTCCTCCTCCCTGACACCAGCAGTGAGGTGAGCCTGTGGTGGTTCCAYTGCAGCCAAACCTTGTCCTTGGAGAACATTGTCTTGGGGTGCTCATCCTGTGTCCTCGACTGCCACGTGAGGTTGGCCAGAGCACTAAGGCACATTTCCTTGAGATCTGAAAAACAAAACACCCCAGGGCTACAATTACACTTGGTGGGAAGATCAGACACCCATGTACACTGTGATCACCACGAGTAACTGCAAAACTTCCCAAATTCAGTCCTGACTCAGCCCTCACTGAACACATTTACACCACCTTCATAAATTAATAGCAAAGCATTTTTAGAAGAAGCCATGCATGGTTGTTAATATGGGATYTTTGGTCATTTTCCACTTGTCTCAGCAGAGCCCTCCCACTGATTTAGACAAAACCAAACTTCCAGGATGATGCTGCACAGAACATCTCCCAGTGTGCTTYTCCCAAACTCACTTGCTTGTTTCCTCAGGAAGTAGGTGTTCCCACTGTGGTGGCACACATTGCAGTGGAAGCTGTAGTTGGTCATGAAGGGCAGACACGACCTGGRAAAAGCAGCTTTGTCAGGGCTGGGTATGCTGTAATTATTGCAGATCCCCCTTTKCYCCAGGCTGAGCCCTTCCCCAGCTCCCTCAGCCCCTCCTGGGGCTCCAGACCCTTCCCCAGCTCTGTTCACTTCCTTGGACATGATCCACAGCTACTCAATGTMCTTCTTGCAGTGAAAGAAAATTAATTTACCACACTGGGTTTCCTTCCCCGAAACCCCTAACATTTACAGACTCAGAGTTTTTCATGGGGGTGCTTTTCTCATGGGCAATGCTTTATTTATACACTACAGCAGTTCCCAGGTATTCAGGAACACAGACATAGCCTGGTCCTTGGGAACTCAAGACTCCAAAAACCCCACTTTTGTCACCAAAGCCCCTGCCAGMGCTCACATACGTGGTGTCAATGCCGAAGGTGTCAGCTGTGAACCACTTGGTGCAGATTCCACACTGCAGCTCGATCTCCCCGAGCTGCCGCGTGTTCTCCTCATCCCCCGAGCCCCCCTGGACATCCATGGCCTCGGYGCCGTCCCCAGCAGCGTCCTGCAAGAGAACAGAGGCAGCAAACAAACAGTGCCCGGGGCAGGCAGGAATCTGCCGTGACAGGAGTTTAGAGGGAATAAATCCTTTCCCCTAATCCATGGCAGCGTTGCGAGCAGGCTGGAGCTGTTCTGTAGCTCACGGGTGAATATTTAATTTCCAAAATAATCCTTTAAGGAACCGACGCTGGCACAAAGGGGATGTTAAATCCCTTCGGGCTGAACCAACCCCGTCCCTGCCCRCAGCACCTACCAGGGGCTCCTTGCCGTTGGCCGACTCGGTCTCCAGGGCTGCGGTGACATCGACCATGGCGCTGTCCCCCCTGCCAGGGCACAGAGATCAGAGCGGAGCC